TGGGCCTTACGGACTGCATCAGGCACGCCCGGTCGAACGGGGTCTTGAATACCAACAATTCCGAGAAAAGTGAGGTCGGAAAGAGACAGCAGAGAGTCCATCTTGACATGGCCGTCCTCCGAAGGCATTCCGGCGGGTGGCCATTGTGGGTAATCCTTGTAGACAAGGCCAATGGTTCTCAATGATCGGCTGGCATACTGGTTGATGGTGTTCTGCAGGGCTTGTCGCTGAGTCGAATCCAGGGCCTCCTCGTCCAAGGTTTCCAAGTTAGCCTGGGACGAGCAGTACCCAAGCAGGATTTCCGAAGCTCCCTTGACCAGAAGACGGTAGCCTTTGTTGGAGTCGCGAAGCTTGATCACGGCGGCCATGCATTTCCTCCGCGAGTCAAAAGGCAACATCTGTACAATATGTTCGTTGGCGCGAGCCTCTGCCAGCGATTGCAGGCCCAGATGGTCCTTGGCCAGAGACAACAGAGCTGTTTCAGTCTTGGATCCGATGAAAGTCGCCTGGCCATCTTCTTGGCCTTCGAAGGCAGTCGAGTTGACGGCAACTGACTGCACAATCAGCTCTTTGGTTGCCGTGGGTACGGATGAGGCCCATGTAGAAACAGGGACGGTGCCATCGGTGGACTTTTCGCTGTCGGATTGCGCCAGAGCTGTGAAGCTTGTTGTCGAGAACGTTCCGGCTACCACTGTCATCTTGTTCGTTGTCTGTGGCCAAGTCAGTAAGTGTGCGCCTTGCAGATTTTGATCTTGTTGCGGATCTCACCAGCGTTCCCGTCTTGTCTGAGCAAATGGTTGTTGCGTTGCCCATGGTCTCACAGGCGCGGAGCACTCGGACGAGGTTGTTCTCTTTCAGGAGCTTGGTGGTCGCAAAAGCCAAAGCGAGGGTGACGGCCAGCGGCAATCCTTCGGGCACTGCGACTGCGATGATGGCAATTGCGACAACAAGCAGATCCATGAAAGTAGACGCCTTGTCTGCTGGCGATCGGTGATCCTCTGGCAAAGTCGCAAGGAATCGGAAAAGAAGAATGAAGAACATCAAGGCGGATGCGCCTCCACCCAACTTAGCGATGGCAACCGCAAGACCTTCCAGCTTCTTCTGCAGGGGAGTGGCTTCGACATCATAGCGAACAGACATCATGATCTTGCCGAAGCTGCTGTGCACTCCGACAGAAGTGCAAACGTACGTGCCCATACCTGGAGCTAATCAGCACATTTCCACATCTACTGGTCGGTCCAAAGGAACCTACCCTCAAGCACCTTCGAGCCAGAAATGATGAATGGGTCGAGATCGTCGAGGTTGTTGTGCTTCGTGTCGAGAAGCTTCATGACCTGGTCACCGGCGGTCTTCTTGAGGACGTCGGATTCGCCAGTAGCCGAAGATTCATCGCACTTCAAGTCCTGGCCTTCAATCAGGATACCATCAGCAGGCACCATGTCTCCCGGCTCAAGATGAAGAACTTCTCCGACGAGAATCTCATTCACATTGATCATGAGAGATCGGCCTGACCGAATGACCTTGACCTGACGATCATCCTTCTTGGTGTTCAATCGCACGAATGCCTGTTCTTTCTGCCAATTGTTGTGGGAACCGACGACGACGACGATGATTACTGCGGCGCAAATGGCCACGCCCTCTACCCTAAATGACTGTCAGCCTAGAGTGATGCGACCTGGTAGAATTGACATACCAGTCGACCGATGCCGGAGAGCCCGCGGGCCTTTCGACACCCAAAGTCTCGTACAAACCCAGTGCCAGAGAGATGATACCGGCGACGGTCAAGAGAATGATGACCTTTTCGCTGAGCTCAATGTACATGAGCCTCCAGATAGACTTGCCCTTCTTTGGTGGGAGGACATTGCGACCGTAAACGCGCGTGCGATCGCTGAATGGTGTTGAGGATGTGGTCGCGTGCCTCTCCGTTGGCGTCGCGGGTTTGGAATCAAAGTCGACGGCCTCACTGAACGAGACTGTGGACTTGACGCCGGTCTCGTCAACACTGAGCCCGCTGCGTACATCGGTTTGAACGCCCCGCGCGATTCCCTGGAGACCGCCAAGAGCTCGGAATGCCGACAGGGACTTGGGATTGAAGAGCTTGTTCAGCTGGCCAGGAGAAAAGGCGAAGGGATTGTTGTCGACGCGAAAGTCGTGCTCGGTTCCGGGGTCTGGGTGAAGAGCCGAGTCTGGATCCTCAAGAACGAAGCTTGGGGCGGCACTGGGAGCAGCAGTTGTGCCGGACGGGGTCAAGAAAGGATTGGTCCCGTCGGGGGTGATGGTGTCGGCATCGCTGACGGCCCGCGGACGGGAGTCCGGATGTGTGGGGTTTGGATTGGGGCTGAGAAAGTTGTCAGCCATCATGAGCTACTGGAGTCATGTATGGGCTGGTGGAAATGAGAAAGTGTTGTCGAGCTGGAGCAAGGCGTGCCGAAGAAGCGGCGGCCAAGCAATATGAATATTTTCTGCGCCTCTGCAGAGAGGGCAGCTTTCTCCGGGCTCCCTCCTGCAGCTTCTCCCAGACTGGCCATACAACACCATCTTGTCAACCGGAAGAGACATAGCTCTCCACTTCTCCAGTAGAGCGGCAAACGCAAAAGGTCAAAGGTCCCGGCTGGCTCAGCACTGCCACAATTCAACGGACATTATATTGACGAAATGATAGCCTCTGATGCGATCTGATAAGCTCGGGTATCCAGGGATGGGGCCCGAGGAGCTCTCGACAAGCTTAAACAAGCAGGCATTCTGCGGTGTGTGTGGAGTGAAGGCCCGCCGGTGGCAGTCTAGGTCAGCCTCAGAGACCAACGGACAGCACATGATGCAGTCTTGGCGGTTTAAGAGAGGATTCCAAGGAGCTCAGAATGATGATCATAAGCAGCGGGATGTGGAAGATGCCAAGAGCTTCAAGGGAGGGGAAGGTGGACGCGAGGGAGAAAAGCAAGATGAGCCGGAGATTGGCAAAATTTGTGAGCACAGTTTAGCGCAGACGAGGGATTTTCTGGCAAAGATTAAGCGAGATGATGGCAAGATCAGACGAGCCTGAGGATATGGGGAAGGTTTAGCCGTTCTGACAGCGCTGACAAACTCGGTTCAGACGAGCGAGGTTTTTTGCTTCTGGCCTGGCGCCGGCGACAGGCCAAGAGTCAGGCGAAAGAGGGGTCTGGAATTCTATTTGACAGACGCAGTGAGAAAGTCATTCTTCTGCGGTGTTGGCGGCGCATCAGGAGCTTCAAATGGAAGGTCAGACGGCGCACGTGTGCGGTTGATACGACCTCGCTTGATCTTTCCCTGTCGCCCTTGATTCGCGAAATCCTACTTGCAATCACCTCAAGCGGGGTATCTCCACCCGGCTCACCGTGTTTCCCGCCTCCCATCGCCGCCATCGGCCTTCATGAACTCCTGTTGGGACTCCTCCCGCGCGGTATGGTACGGTACGGTACGGTACCGACGCAGCGCTTTGACTGGGGCTTGTAGCAGAACGCGAAACCTCGTAGCATTTGTTTCTTGGCCACAGAAAGTCGTTTCCTCTTGCCGTCCTTTCTTCGTTTTCAGTTTCCATATAATGACGCTATGTTTCGCTCGCGCAAGAATGACGGCGTGGTTCTGAGCAGGAAGCGACCATCTCTTACATACACAGCCGAGCCAAGAAGTCCAACAATCTGACTGTCGAACCGAAATGTCGTTTCCGCCGCCAGCACGAGACCGGTCATGTCGAGCCGCGAGCCCCTCTCTTGCTGATCATGCTTTCTCCCACAAAGCCAAGCCTATGTTGGCCCCCTCGACGCGTCAAATCCGGCCACATAGCAAACTTGACACCGTTTCTTTGCGCACAGCGAAATGCGACTCTTGACTTGCGCAGCCGGTGTTGCTTTGCGTCCGGATGTTTTGCTTTCCGGGGCTCACGACCCCCTGTAAATATGTCGGCAATTAGTGCTGTCACCTAGGCCTTTTGACGAAGCTACCGGCGCAAGCTCCTTCAGCCGACGCCGAGCCGACGGAGTGCTGTCACGGATTGTTACTTGGCGGCATCATCGTCAACCCAACCGCTGGACTCTGTCAGGTTTTATGGATGGCAAATTTTATTCCCACGTTTCGCGACAGAACCAAAACCAACAATTGGGATCAACGCCCGGTCGCTACCAATTTGGCCCCTGTTGATGATCACTTGGAGTCCTTGTCTCGCTTGATCTTCCGGTACTCTTATTTTGGTGAGGAGGCCTCATCCTGTTTGTGTCGGAGAGCAGAGCTCCATACACATCCACTCAACTGGGGCTCGTTGGGTCACCCATTCTTCTAGAGTTCAACGTTACCACTTTTCCAACACAACAATGATGACTCCGCGCGGCCGCGCCTCATCTTGACGAGCGGTTTATTGATTGATTTTCTTCATCCCCTGAGATATCGCGATAGTAGGCGTATTAAAGCGTTTTCGTAGCACGGACCTTAAGAGCTTCATTGGTTCGTTGCAGCCGGTGCTCAGCCCGAGGATGAGGGTGGGCGACGTTGAAAAGTAGCCCAAGCATCGTCACACTTGGCGTGTACTTATATCGCAGTTTGACTGGCTCACACAGGCGATAGAAACGTGTTCATGACGATCTCAGAGGCCATGATCACACCAGCAGCTTACGGGAGTTTCCTCGAAAACATGCTGACTAGAAATCTTTGGAAGATACTTTGACTCCGAGCCAGGCGTTTGCTTAAGATGTCTTGCACGGGACATGTGCCCATCATGCCGCGCAATTTGCTGCCCCGAAGACCTGCTGACGAGCCAAGAAGTAGAAGAAACTTTTGTGGAAGCACGTAAGGTATTATTCAGCCTGGCGGTGAGGTTGGGGAATAATCCTCCTGAGATGGTTTACTGACGTGTAATTACTGACGCAATAAGTTTTACGCACTGCACTGTGGTCAAAGGTACGCGATCTCTTCCTAAAGTCAAGCTTGTTCATTCATGCATGGATTCGTTCGCAACTTTAACATGTCTGACATTTTGGCCAACAAAGTTTCTAAAACAAGACAACTTCGACTCCTCTTCCGCGTGCTGCTTCGTTCATGTCGAAGACCTCTGCCCCTGAAGCCTGTGCCTCGTCCAGCAGCTCAAATATGACCTTCAGAAAGTTGAACGGGTCTCTTTTGGACAAATGTTCACGGAAACTTTCCAGTGTTATTTTCCATTCAGGATGGGCGCCCAGCTCTCGAAACTCTAAGCTGGCCGCTGTAACAGGAAACACCATTCCGTTCTGTATCAGCGAGTACTTTTCGCGGTCAAGGTCAAAGTGGATATGTTTGTGGATAGCGTCCATCGCAGAAATTAGTCGGCACATGATCACGCCTGTATTTGGCGCGAACTGGGTTTCCTCCTGAGCTTGTCCGTCTTGGAGCCTCTTTCTTCTGCGAATTTCGAGAATGCCCGCGAACCGCCAACAGTCCCACAAGTGACACTGTATGAATTCGCCGATTTCACCGGGCCATATCCATAGTCTGGACTCGACACTTGCTTGAGGACCATCCGGTATATCGGCCAGTACGTCAATAAGAGATCGGGGCATTCCTATACCAACCTCGACTCCACCAATCCTACCCCCGGGCCAACTGTCTTGGGTCTTTCTGAAGCGCTTCCAAAGCCCGATTGAGGGGCTTACTCGGCCGACAACATACAACGGCAAGTCCATCACGCACATAGACTCCAACATATGAAGCGTTGGAAGGTCGCGCCCGGGGCCTGGCTCTAACAAGTGCATTTTGGCGTCCAGGTTGTATAAGTTTGCCATAAGTTGGACATACATCGTAAAAGGACGGGCTAACAAGAGCTACGCTCATCAGCATCGTAGTTTTCAAGTCAGTTTACCTGTTTCAAATACTTTCACTTACACACAAAGAGCAGACCATCAAACCGGCAAAGGCAGTTGATGCCCTGATGTCGTCATGTTGGCTAGCAAGCTCAGCGCGGAATGTTCGGAGGGCAAGGTCAAGACGTTCCATGGAAGATACAGACAGGTCATCGCACCCATCATCGACATAGCTCTGGATAGCGATGCCGATTATTCTGAGGGCCTTGCTTTGTGATGCCATATCCTCGAAGATAGGCCTGATCCAAGACTGAGTCTCCGCGTTATACAGCTTGCCAAGGCCAGATTTCAAAACTGAGCGATCGTTAGGCTGCGACACCGACATTTTGAAAGGTTTTTAAAAAGTTGAAAACGTACAAGTTTCGAACAAGTTGTCCAGCCCGTCAAGGCCATCCTCATCTGGACGTGGCGGAAGCGGATGGTCGTCGTCCAACCTACGACTCTGTGGTTGGTCGTTGAGAATGCGGTAGGATGACGAAGGAGGGGTGTTGACATTGCTAGTATCCAACCCCCGATCCGTAGGCCGCGAGGTCTCTGGTCCATCCACGGAATGAATGCTGGTGGTGTCGTTCACCCACCGAATGGGTTTCGTGTACCCTTCACACTCAAGACCACGTCGCATGCAGGGGCCGCACTCCGGGCGGGCTTCATCGCACTTCCGTTTTCGCCTCTTGCAAGTTGCGCAGCCATTTCTCGAACGCGTTATTGGCCGCATTTTCCGCCTCGGGCACTTCGCTTCTCATAGTCAACTGAGAGACGGAGTTGAATGGCGGCGCACTTGATGGACAAAATGGGAATGACGTGGGGACGGGAAGAATGCAGCGCACCGACGACCCTTAAAGGGTTTAGCGCTGAAGCAGCTTTTCTGCTGCACGAGCACCAAGTCGATCTGTGAGCATGTTTTTGATTCAAACACAGCGGGTTGCTCCTGAGCCCCGGTCCTAGGTTGAAGAAGGCGACACCTCTCTGGACCGCATTTATCAGGAAATTCAGTTCCTTACATGAAGCTTTGTTTTTAGAATCCTTTCCCGACTAACCGCAAATGGATAATTATTGCGCCAAACATGGATTTCTGATGACAAACTGCGGCGCAATTGTCATGATCTTTCCCTTCCTGAACATGTTGCACACAGCACGACCAGTCATTGTCCGCGAAGTGACGATCCACTTGTTCCTGATCCCGTCTCGCGTGACGAGGGATGTTTTTAATTCGAATCAGCATACCAGACTGGGGTTTTTCTGAAAATCTGTCTAGGTATATGAAGGTCGAATCCCCGGTTGTCCTGTTGTCGAAGACGCACCTGCTACCATCAAACCATACTCTCTCCTTCACAAAGCAACCAGGGCGTTTCCCATACACCATAACCAAAGATAGTCTTCCGACACTCTCTGCCTCACTTTCCACGGACGGCATCGGCAATTCAACATGACACCGCAAGAATGTCGAACAACAGAAACAAGGGACGCTGAGGACTCCCCTTCCCCTACGGACATAGATGTCGAAGTTCTGGGCCGGCAGCGCCCGGCAGTGTTTGGGTCCTGGCTATCAGAGGTCGGCTTTTGCTCCTCACTACTTGGACTCATGCTAATGGGGGTAAGTTTGTCTGACCAACATGCCCAACTACGGTTGCTATTTGACTGACCCCAATTTTGCAGGAATATCTCGTCGGTGGCTTTCACATCATCCTCCCCCAGCTTGCATCCGATCTCAATATCCCCAGCGAATCCCAGACGTGGCCATCGAGTGTGTTTTCCCTTGTCGCTGGCGCCTGCCTTCTCCCGTTCGGCCGAGTAAGCGAAAAGTTCGGAGGTTACATTACGTTCAACATTGGTCTTGGGTGGTTCTTCCTTTGGACCCTGTTGTCCGGTTTCAGCCATAACTACGTCATGCTCATAGCCTGTCGCGCTATGGCAGGCTTGGGGATTTCTGCGGTCCTCCCGGCCGGCATGATGATGCTCGGCAAGACCTATCGACCCGGACCTCGGAAGAATCTCGTGTTCGCGCTTTACGGTTCCTTCGCTCCTATCGGCTTCTTTTTTGGCATATTTATCGGTGGTCTGACCGGGCAATACTTGTCATGGAGATGGTACTTCTGGGTCGGCTCCATGATATTGGGTGTGCTGATTGCTATTTCTTTCTTTTCCATTCCGAAAGATTATGGCAACAAGCATGAGGTGCAGATGGATTGGTTAGGTACTGTTACAATCGTACCAGGTCTTGCGCTTCTTATCTACGCCCTTACAGACAGTTCTCAGGCTCCAGAGGGTTGGAAAAGCCCTCAGATTCTGGTCACCCTTATCGTTGGCGTTCTCTTGCTGGCAATCGGCTTTTACATCGAGAAATGCGTCGCATCCAGTCCGCTTCTTCCGCCTGATCTTTTCTCGACAAAGTACATCAAGACTCTGATGTTGGCCTTATGGTTGACATACGGTGTCTTTGGGCTTTTTCTCTTCTACAGCAGTTTCTACATTGAGTTGGTTCTCCACGCGTCGCCACTGCTTACGGCTGCCTGGTATGTTCCCCTGGCTGCTGGAGGGGTAACAATCGGGCTCGTGGGAGGTTTCACTCTCCACCTACTCCCGGGAAGGCTTCTTCTGATCCTTTCAGGTTGTGGAAGTATTGTGTGTGTTCTACTCTTTGCCATTATGCCTGAAGATCCAAGCTACTGGGCATACGTCTTTCCGTCTATGGTCTGTGCAACAATTGGCATCGACATTGCTTTCACCGTCAGCAATGTATATATAACAACGTCTCTTCCTCAACACCACCAAGGGCTTGCTGGGGCTCTCATCAACAGTCTACTGTTTCTTGGGATCAGCTTCTGGTTGGGCATGGCGGACATAGCTGTCCATCAAACAAGCGATTCCGGGCTCAGGTCCAGCTATAAATCGGCGTTTTGGGTTGGAGTAGGAGCAGCAAGTGCCGCAGCCAGTCTTTTTTCCACTGTCAGAATTGGGTCAGCTAGTAGTGACTTGACGGTGGAAGAGAAACGCCAGCGGGACGCAGCGGGCCAAACAACTTTGGAGGATCATCGCCGTTAAGATACGGATGTAACAAAACTTAGGCGCCGTTAGGATGGTCATACGTTGTATGACAAGCCGATCAAATTAATATCAACCGTAAATAGCGTCTATTGTATTCTGGTTGAGGGTTGCCCCAAAACGCTCATTCTAGCATCATTCGTCAGATTCCACAGTACTTCTATTGTGAAGCACTGCATTTCTTCCCCCTTTCCCATTCATAACTTCCCCCTCAATCACACCACGAATGATCGAGCTTTTGGCCTGTCATGTGAGCCGCTCCTTGGGCGCCTGCCTTCTGAATCACTTGACATTCTCGCCGTCTCTTGTCTAACTTGAATTTCCGTCTGTTTTTGGATTCCATGTTCCCCCAAAATGATGGCTTCTTCGCTATCGTTCTTCGATGAATCTCTTGTATTGGTCGTTACCCCCCCTCCTCGGCCCCCCGAAGAGATTACTGTATGGTTTCCAGGACGTCTGTCAGATAGGTTGGTCAAAGGATGAGATGTCCTCGTTTTGGTGCCATTGTTTCCGCAGCTGTCAAGAGGATACCCTGTTCTGGATGAAGAAGAGCCCAACAGAGCCGGAAAGTACCTCTTGAAAAACACTTTCAGAGCCGAGGAGCAGCCGCAGAAGATGGCTACATAAAGTTCCAGTGCGTACCAGACGAGGGAGTAGGCCAACTGTTGATAGAGCTCTGGCTCGTTTGCTAGTTGTCGCACATAGTAGAACCGAACGCATCCCGCTGGGAGATTATGGTAAGCGGAAGGAAGTCGATGCTTTTTTACTCAACACTCACCAACAACTGATATGATGCCCAGGGCAAACACGGCCGAGACTGCCCACTTTTGTCGCTGGTTCCATGTGAATGCGCGTATCTCAGCAATGAGGGAAGGCGACTTACCTTGGGAAGCTGGAGATTCCAAATCATAGGGATCGGGCATATCCAAAGACATATATCTGTGATGATGACGATAATACCGGCAGCATCCCAAAATGCTTGCTGTTTAGATTGCGTCATGCATTGTTGCATATAAATAATGCGGTCTCCTTTCGATGTCCAAAAGACCTCCGGTGGACTACACTCGATAACAGACATGACAAAGTGCCCTACACCCATGCCGATGACAACCACTGTGAGGCTGTGGACCGCCCATCTCATGAGTAGTCGATCATCAAGGCGCAGGTAGAACAGAAGCAGGGCGACCTTGACGAGCACCATGGCGATTGCATACAGTAAGCGAGAAACCCAAAACGACTACACCGCATTGCTGTCAGTACTTTTTGAACGTTGCGAGCTCGATGCAGAAATATGTTGAAAATCACGTCACTCACTAGAAGCATGGGCTCCCAAGTCTCTGCTGGAATGTCTGCTCCTGGTTCTTGTTAGTAATGGCGAGGAGTTGGGGTTGGAGAAATAGAACTCACTGGCCTTTCCAATACCGCGAACGACCGAAATCATTACAGTGATAGATAACGCGATTGTCATTAACTGAGCAAGTCAGTGTTGCAAATTCGAATTACCGGGAGGGAAGAACGGGGTCCTCTTATGGTGTCTTACTGTTCCAAATGCCATCATGACTGGCAAATATGAATTAGTGTCATCGTCTCTATGAAGTAGTCTCTTTCAATAATGTACTTACTGTCGTCGAGGCCGATAGCCTTCGTGATGACAAGTCTTGCCCACATTCGCATCCCCATAATAATGATTATGAAGATAATAAAACCGGCGTTGATTCCAAGAGCTCTGCATTGAGCTTGGTTGAGTTCCATCGCTAAAGGTTCGCCAGTAGCTTGGCGTGCAAACACAAGTAAATCGGTCATCACCATGCCCTTTGGAAACGAAGGGATCCGCAAGTCGAGCAGTTCGGACAAGCGTTCCACGCCAGGAGTTTAATAAGGAAGGCGGGATGGGAATTTCTAAGGGCAGCATTTTTTGAAGCCAAGGAAGCCGCAGTTTTCAAGACATCTACCGCTCGGACATTTTCAAGGGTACTCTGTCGCATTACTACATGTCAGGGAGCTGAACCGGGAAACGGCTTCTATGGTTGCAAATCGCCTGCCCTGCTGATGTCTAGGCAACCTTCGCCTGTTTGGAGGAACAGAGCAGCGAGTCATACAAAATGTTCCGCTTGGCTGTAGCTGCTATTAAAGCTGTTCATTGTTGAATTAGAACACCCATGGTAAGCCTCCCAACGCTTGACAATGCTTACCAACTTTTGTGGTCTCGTAATTCCTCCGACTATCTCCACAACAGTGTGGTTCTTGAACCTCATAGGCGATCAATGCCCATGCATTTGATCCTTGCATATTGGTCTAGGGCCCTCTGAAGGCCGTTGATTCGCTTCATTCAAAGTGGCCTTCCTTTCTGAGGAACCGTTGGTTCGTGATCCCCGGCCCTACGGAGCTCACGCCACTACTTGTGTGATGATGGTCGTTTTCAGGGGGTTGAAGACGGGGCGAATGGAGGTGATCCAAAAACTAAAGATACACGAGATGATGCTTAGACGTTTCTGTGATGTATGAGATCTATTTCACTTCTTTGAGTTCTCCTCTGTTGATCTATCCTGGGCTGATAAACACATCTAGACGCTTTTGTAGACATCTAAATCCACAAGGATATCAGTGTCATTCTTGTCGAATTTAATCACGCCTTCACAATCGAGGCTTTAGTCGCCGCGGGGGATACATGGAGCTTGACAGTTCGACAAATCCAGCGTCTAGGGACATGTCCGGGGGCATTCTTGAGTAAGTAGCCGCGCGTGGGTTGCTAGTCCTGGCAGGCATCCTTGTGGGCGTAGCCCTCCCCTGCTTCGGCTAAAGCCACGGACGCCAGAAATCTTAAGTTGCGGAACATTTCCCTGCTTGGAATGCCTCCAGCTACTCACAATCCAGACTTGAGCTATCAATGTCACATCTGCATGACGGAGGCGCCATGGAACATTACGACAGCCGTCATTGAACACAACAACAGCTCTGCGGGCTTCTGTCTCCAGTCACTCACAGTGAGACGGAAAATCTGATGTGACTGGTCGAAACAAGTCCAAACTGACTGGCTTGATGGCAAGTGCGGCGGTGCCTGATTGAGCAGCCCAAGGAGATTCAACATCCATGAGCTGTGGACCCTTGAGCCATGTCGTGCATATGGAATCCACATGAGGAGGCAGGGAAATTGAGACTTCGTCTAATGATTCCATCTGGTTGGTGCACATCGGCAAGCGGGGAATCCCGTTGACCCTCCTGTCTCTCGGGTCGTTTTTACAGTCCGAGAAGTAGCACAAGGCCCCTTTCCCGCATTTTGGCCTGGAGAAAGCTGAACACATCCTTATCGAGAACAAAGTTGAGAAGGTTCACGGCGTTATGATCGATTAGCATTCGGTTAGAACAGAGTTTCGGGAAGACGTGGACTTCCCGTCAAGGTTCGAGGACATGGACAGTTGGTGATGGTTGGATCGGTGGGTGATGTACCCGTGCTCGTCTGGAGCCACTCAAAGTCACCTCACCAAAAGCATCTTCTAGCTTCCATGCTAGAGTCGGGAAATTTACCGGCCAGCTCTCCGGGCACATGGGACGAACAGAAGTGAGACAGAGCGAGAAGAGAAGACTGATGCTCATGTGATGACTAGTTGACACATGGACACCCTAGCAAGTCGCGAACTATCTCCTACGATATAATAAACTTCTTTCATTCAATGCTTTTCATTTAGCCTGTGATTTCTGGCGCTGTTGCTTCGTAAATGCTGCAGGAGAGCATACTCGGCCGGCAGGGTCCGGAATCGGAGCCGTAAAAGCGGGTCTCTCGGAGATGTGGATCCTACAGCACCGGGCAGCCACTGGTGGATGGTATTATATAATCACTTCATTTATCCGGACTTTCACCATCCGCTTCACATGTTGCCAGCCGGCTCCATCCGGCAGGCGACAGAATTGGCTCGGAGGAGCCTTCTCCTTTCTCGTTTGGTGCTGCTGCTCTTTCCTTCACGCGGCCACTCACTCACGCGACATCGTCTCTCAACTTCAACATCGGCAACCAGATATTGTGTTTCCCCCGATTTGGCCTCGCATCAGAAAAATGAAAGCTCCTCACGATGTCCACATTCAATGGTCTTGTCGCAGAGTTTCCTGACATTCGCAGTAAGTCCTTGCTGACGAAAAAGTAGCATCACTGTGACCCTGGGTCCCGCGTGATAGCTTCGCGTTCACCCGCTGCCTCTCGCCCCGACGCGCCTTTTCCCTCGAAATTTCGTTGCTAATTGCGTTGCAGTTGACTTCTTCCGGAAACATGCCGGCCATCATCCGCCACTCGCATGCTTCCTAAGCCATATCCACAGCGACCACCTCGCAGGGTTGGAAAGCCTCCGCTCTCCGTTTGTCTACTGCTCCGCAGCCACGCGGGAGATGCTCCTCCGTCTTGAACGTTATCCCTGTCGCATCAACTACGCCAAGGGTATTTTGGAGGCTCGCGTGCAGACGTACAAGCATCTCAAGAATCTCCTCAAACCGCTGCCCCTGGATACGCCAACCACCCTCGAACTTGCTCCCGGAAGATGCATTCAGGTCACTTTGCTCGATGCGAACCACTGCCCCGGTTCTGTAATGTTTCTGATCGAGGACACCCATCACGCCATTCTCTATACGGGCGACATCCGAAGCGAACCGTGGTTCGTCAATGCCGTCGCCAGAAACCCAGCAGTCGTTGAGTACACCTGTGGCATCAAGACGCTTGACAAGATCTACCTCGACACCTCTTTCATCCAGAACGTACCGTTTCAAACAAAGGCCAATGGCATTGCGGAGCTGTTGCGCAAGGTGGCCTTGTATCCCGACGACACCATCTTCCACATCCAAGCATGGACCTACGGGTACGAGCAAGTCTGGATCGCCTTATCCAAGGCCCTGAGATCCAGGATCCATGTGGATGACTACAAGATGCGCGTATTCTCATCCTTGACTGGCAAGGCCTCGAACGATCGCTTCAGCTCGTCCATACATCTGTGCCCAGAGGCACCGGCGTTGGCTGGTTACATATGCGGCAATACACCCCATCCAGGTTGTCTCACACGGGACGAGCACGTTCGGCTTCACAGTTGTGAGAGAGGCAACTTTTGCTCTGTTGTTCGAGGATCAAAAGTCGTTTCCATCCAACCCCTTGTCGCTCATCTTTCCAACGGAGCCGAGATTGCCGAGGTCGGTGTCGGCGGGGGCGGAGACGACCTGGAGCGGGACGCGGAGCTTGACACGCTGTCGTCCGCCGACGTCGAAGCCGTGCTGGCCCTGCTCAAGGAAAAGGGAGATCTTTCTCAGGAATCAAGGTCGTTGCTCCGGGAGCTCCTCGAAAATGGGTTAAACACCGGGCGCAACATGTCTCTCGACATCGATATCTCATCTTTTGGAGAGAGGAACGAAGCAACAATCCTTGATGCCTTCCGGTCGGTTGGGCAAAAGAGACAACCACCCAGCTCTAGTTTCCTCAGCACGGGAACCGATTCCGAGCCACCCTTGCCGAAAACCATCACTTTTCCTTACTCCCGGCACTCATCCTACCAAGAGCTCTGCGACCTCGTCCGAATATTCCGACCGAAAGATGTCTGGCCTTGCACCGTCAATTCCACAGACTGGGTCAGGGATAACATCACCATCCATTCTCTATTCGGCAACTTTTGCTCTGGTGATAGCTTCGCACATGACCTCGAAATGGAAAGGTTCGCCAGCCGGAATGCGGGGCCGCTCGGGCAACGGGTGTCTCAAAACATTGACACCAGTCAACCCTCTGAGGGTGACATTGACATGCCAACGTTGCATTTCTCGCAAACAGATCACGCAGCCGAACCCGAGACAGCCGTTCAAGAACTCGAAAGGACCGTGAATAATGCGGCCGCCGGGTCCGTGACGTCGCAACCGCCCATCTGGTCGGGACGGGGCTGTTCAGACGGAGGGGGCCGGAAAAGCCAAGAGTTTTCCGTCACCGGCACTTCGAAGAGCAAACCATCGTCGTCTCGTGGAGTTTCAAGCGTACGAGCGGATGCATATTTGAACATGGCGAGGAATCTTGTTGGGGGCGAGTGGACCCCGATCGGTTTGCTGTCCACCTTTGACCATCATACGACGCTTGATAAGGAGCTAGGAGGGAGATAGAAACTTGCCGGCGTCTCACTTTGTAGATACCCCGCACCATATCGCATCAAAATAAGGGACATAATGCTTAGAGACTATGATTATCATTGACGGTTGGTTCAGCTCAGTTGATGAGCTCTGAGGACTACGGATCCAGGCTCGCAGCGCTGCTGCATCCCAGCCTTGCACCCAGTGGTACACACACACCTCCGCCCAAACAAAGGAGATGATTTTCGCTCGTCCACGCACTTCTACTGTGGACGCAGCGCGCCGGCCTCCGATACACCCCATCTTCCATGGATATACTGCCGCAAGCTCTTTCCCCAGAACGCGAGCGGCACAGCGATGCCACCCACCACAAGTAAGATCGCGCCCAGCTCGAAACTGGCGCCGAGGTAACCCTGTGACTTGAGCCACGGGGTGACAGCATAAGATGTTGCGAAACTCAACATGTATCCACCTCCTCCGACAATGATCATCGCCGGAGCGGCCCAGCGGGGGAAAGCCTCGGTTACCCAGAGTGTGGAGGCGATACCGTACGCCGCGGCGCTGAAAGCGTTCAAGACATAGGAAACAAAGATCCAGATAAAGTTCCACTTGTAATTTACCGTGAGGCCGTAGACGAATACGCTGCCTGCGCCGGCAAGTACTGCGGGTAG